ATTCATCTCGGCAGTACCAAAATGTACCAAGACCTCAAAGAAAAGTTCTGGTGGGTCAGCATGAGAAGGGAAATAGCTGAATTCGTAGCACTCTGTGACGTCTGTCAACGAGTAAAGGCAGAACACCAAAGGCCAGCAGGTTTGCTACAGCCACTTCAGATTCCAGAATGGAAGTGGGAAGAAATCGGAATGGATTTCATCACCGGTTTGCCCAGGACGTCATCGGGGCATGATTCTATTTGGGTAGTCGTTGACCGACTCACCAAAGTGGCTCACTTCATTCCAGTGCACACTACCTACTCAGGGAAGAAATTAGCAGAACTCTATCTGGCAAGAATTATGTGTTTACATGGTGTACCTAAGAAGATCGTGTCTGATCGAGGAAGCCAATTCACTTCAAAGTTCTGGCAGAAATTACAAGAAGAATTGGGAACCCGGTTGAATTTCAGCACTGCTTACCATCCACAAACAGACGGCCAGACCGAGCGAGTCAATCAAATCCTAGAGGATATGTTGAGAGCCTGTGCGCTTGACTTTGGTGGAGCATGGGACAAAAGCTTACCGTATGCTGAGTTCTCGTACAACAACAGTTACCAAGATAGTTTGCAGATGGCACCATTTGAAGCACTGTATGGACGAAGGTGTCGTACTCCGCTCTTTTGGGATCAGACAGGGGAACGCCAGTTGTTTGGTACATAAGTTTTAAATGAGGCAGAAGAGAAAGTCAGAGCTGTTAGGGAAAGATTGAGAATCGCGCAATCTCGGCAGAAAAGCTATGCAGACAACCGCCGAAGGGAGCTCGTTTTCCAAGCAGGGGATTATGTGTATCTCCGTGTCACTCCGCTCAGGGGAGTACACCGCTTCCAAACCAAAGGAAAGTTGGCACCACGCTTTGTGGGACCATATCGAATTTTGGAACGCAGGGGTGAAGTTGCTTACCAGCTTGAGCTTCCCTCCAACATGCTTGGCATCCATAATGTGTTCCACGTCTCCCAGTTGAAGAAATGTTTGAGAGTTCCTGAGGAACAGGCAAGTCCGGATCAAATCGAAATCCAGGAAGACTTGACGTATGTGGAGAAGCCGACTCGTATCCTTGAAACCAGCGAGAGAAGGACCAGAAACAAAGCAATCAGATTCTGCAAGGTTCAGTGGAGCCATCACTCAGAAGAAGAGGCCACTTGGGAAAGAAAAGATGAGTTGAAGGCCACCCACCCGCACCTCTTCGCCAGCTCTTCCGAATCTCGGGGTCGAGATTCCGTTTAAGGGGGGTAGGTTTGTCACACCCTGAAGTTTTCCCCCTTTTGCTTGCTTTAAAAATTGGTTAAATAAATTGCCCGAAGAAATTATCTTAATTAACCTAGAGCTAAATCCCTAGTTAATAAATGCACTTAATAATCGGAAATAGCGTGGTGGAATTTTTCTTGAGTTCCCCATGCTCCAATGCATTAACAAGATTTTTAGTGGAATTTTCAGAGCCTTGGAAATAATTTTAACCAATTAAAAATCACCAAAGTGCAATTTTAAATCCCAGGAAAAATCCTTTCTTCTTTTTCTTTTTTTCTTTTCCCTCCTTTTCCTTTGTTGGGCCGTCGGCCCATCCCTCTCCCGCTCAGCCTTCCTCTTGTTGGGCCGGCCCATGCGCCCCTCCCTCCTCTCTCTGGGATGCCGACAGGTGGGCCCCACCTGTCGGTCGTCTCCCACCTCCAGCCGTTGGAGCCGGAGCTCCAACTGCTGCCGTCGAAACCGCCCATGCCGCCGCCGCCGTTTCCCGCCGTTCTCCACGCCCCACTCCGCCCGTGCCGCGCGCCCACGTCGCCGCCCCACTCCTCCGCCCTTCCCGCCCGCGCGCATGCACGAAGTGGGCGGGATTCATTTTGAATCCCCCCCATTCTCTCTCTCTCTCCACCCCCACGTCGCCGGCCAAATCGGCCATCTCCCCGGCCACGTCCGCCCCTCCCTCGCCCATAAAAACCCTCCCCCGAGTCCCCTCCCTCGTTTCCCCCATTTGCCGTCCTCTCCCACGCCCCCTACCGCGCCCGCGCCGTCACACCCGAGCCCCGCCGCTTGCCGCCGCCTTCGGCCGCGAGCCGCCGCCGCTAGAGTCGCCGCCGCGCCAAACCGCCGCCGCCGTTAGCTTCGCCGCCGCAAGAGCTTTCCCGGCCGCCGCCTCGCGTCGCCGGAATCCCACCAGAGCGCCTCTCCCCTCGCGAGCCGGTGAGTTTTTCCCTCCCCTCCATCTCCGGCCGGCAATTCAAGCCGCCGTGGTCGTCGTCTCCTCTCCTAACGCCTCTCCATCTTCTCCTAGGGTGTCGCCGCCGCCCGTCCGTGCCTCCGCGTCGCTGGTCATCGCCGCCGTCTTCATCCTTCGCGCCGGCCGCCGTGCTCACAGTGAGGAGCTCCTCTCCTCCCTCCTCTCCTTTGTCCCGCACGCGCTGCCGCTCCCTGCGCTCGCCATCGCCTTCGTCCGCCGCCGCCGGTCTGTGCGCCGCCCGCCGCCGCCTCCCACGCCGCTGGTTGCCGTCACCGGCGACCGCATGCCGCCGCCGTTCGCCATGCTTGCCGGCCAGCTTGAAGCCGAGGCCGAGCCCGGTGGCTGCTCCCTGCACCGTCCGATCGGCTTGGGCCGATCCGGACCCTTGGTCCCGTGGACCGGCCGCCTTGAGCCGCTGACATGCGGGCCCCGCTTGCCGGCGCCCCCTTCCTCTCCCCTTTGAGCCGCTGACCCGTGGGCCCCACCTGTCGCCGCCGCCCCCCCCCTTCGCTGATGTCAGCCCTGGGCTTTATTGCGCAATAATTAATTAAGGACTTTTTCTTTATTAGTAAAAACACAGTTTATCTTCTAAAATTCATAAGTAATTCATCCGAGCTCCGTTTAAGTCCATTCAAGTCTTAGTAAATCAAGAAAAATGCAAAGAATCCATTAAAATTGGTTTTGTTTCCTGTTTCTGTAGTCTTATAGCATGTTTTGCTTGTGTGCTTTGTTTGTCGCGTAGGTTTCGGCCGTTTCGTCGATCCGCAGTTTCTCGAAGACGTTGCTGAGGTCTCATCAGTTCGAGAGCAAGGCAAGTCATGCAATACGTTTGATCATATTGTACCCAATTTACAAATATCCCGCATTTCTATTAAATGTTGCATTGTTTTACAATGTAATGTGGGATGGGTCCTATTCCTCAGCCACATATTGGTTACCCTATGCCATTGATAACTTGGGTATCAAAATGACTAGATGTTGGCTTAGGAAATGCTTAGCCATGCTTAGTTCAACTAGTACACAAATGGGGATCACATTATTACATAGACTTTGTCTTTTGGCATAGCTTTAGATTGGTGCCACCGCAATAGTGTTAGTTAATTAAAATACACTGAATGGCGAGCTGTGAGTACATGGTTTTGCTGGTCGCACCCATGGCAGTTAAGGACCGGTTCACGGGAAACCCTGGGAGACTTACCGTGCTTACCACAAGCGGGAGTGGGTAACTGCTTGATCTGAAGTATAGCTCGACCCTTTCCTAGGCACCGGTGGCGAGGGTGGGCGTGATGGAGTTGGGTCGGCCGAGGTGTTCGGTTGTCCAGCTGCCGGATTCACCGCGGCGCAAGAGGGGACCGCCCACTGCCTTTTGAGGGGTGGGGGTGAAACCTTAGCGTGGTGTGGATGGTTAGGGGAGGGTTATGTGGAGGGTCTTGTCACGATTTCCCCCTTTGCAGTATCATGGTGATACTTCGGGGCATGGCGACATGTGTGGAATCGTGTCTTGTGGGTACAGTTGTACACCTCTGGCCAGAGTAAAACTATTCGAATAGCCGTGCCCGCGGTTATGGGCGATCAACCAGATTCACCGTGATTAGTCTCACCCCTAGTTTAGCTTAATGAACTGGTGTAGTTCAGGTGGTTGGTTGGGCCTGTTGCAACGTGGTGTAGCGTTGGACAGTGATTGGTTAATATTGATTAATTACTACAACTGTTTTACTGCCTTCAACTACTGCTTTTAAATGCTAGCTTTATGCAAAAGAACCTCTAGCCTCCTTTGGTTATATCCTGCATCATACCTCCTCTTCCGGTATGACTTGCTGAGTACAGTGGGTAGTACTCAGTCTTGCTCTCTTTTCCCCCACACCAGAGTTGAAGTTCTTCTCAGTTGGAGCCGTCTCAGAGAGGTTGGTTTCGTCGCTGCCGTCAAGGGTTGCCTGTGGAATGGAATCGCCCGCTGCAGGAGTCAAGTCTTCAGGCTTAGCTCGCTTTTACCTTTTCCGCTGCATTTGTAATCCTTTATGTTTTTGTAAGACGTGGATCTGTATGTCAACAATTGTCGTTTGTGTACCCTGGCTGGTCCTGGACAGGGGTTTAATACACATTCAGCTTAGAAATTCTGGTTCCTGAATTTCTGGGCGTGACAGAGCCTCAGTGGTATGCTCAATTGTACGCTCAGTGGCAAACAACATCATCATGGACAGGTCAAAGTTGGGAGGAATACAAGGCGGGGTTGCTACATTCACATGGCTTGATGCTCATGTCCACAGAGGAGTACAATATGGCATATAATCAGTGGAATGCGTAGCTATGCATGTCCTTGTTTATTTCCTTTCATTCGAACTAGAATTGTAATCGTGGACATTATACTGTGGACTCTACAATATAGAGTAGGTCATGCCGAATTTTTCTGTTGTATAACCACATCTTAATTAACTAAAATACTCACATTTTAGTTTTTTTCTATTATTTTTTTCATTTTTCTTATTTCAGTTCCAACATAAACTAAAATACTCACATTTTAGTTTTTTTCTATTATTTTTTTCATTTTTCTTATTTCAGTTCCAACGTATCGCGGTTACCGTCCTCTTACCGCGGTTACCGTACCAAACCGTGCGGTTACCGTGTCCATACCGTGGATTTTGAATTCAAAAATTTGGAAACGAAATTTGTGCGGTTTTTCGCGGTAACCGCACGGTTACCGCGGTAACCACCATACCGCGGGGGGTCGGTAACCCCCCAAAACGGTAAGGTGAACCCTGGTGTCAATAGGATAAAAGATGGGTATAACCCTGCAACATGGATGTTGGAGGTGACCTCAACTGTCCAGGAGCAGATGTCAGGGATTGATTTTTCTGAAATATACAAAAAATCAGAACTATATCAGTAAGTGAGGTTTATCCATTTACTCTTAAACTCTTTGAAAACAATCAAGAATTTGAATGATATTATAGTACAAAAACTATCTTCCGTGAAGTTGTAATTTTCGGCAGCCAATTTTTTTTGGGAAATTTCTAGTTGACTGCGTGCTCTAGAAGGAGTGAAATGGCCGTGTCTTTAACCAGGAAAGCTGCTCGTGGGCACAGGTGCTGGCTGCGATTTCTGAAGAAGCCAGTCTTTGGTCCACGGCTGGGGCAAACCTGCCTCATATCGCTGTGTAATTGTTTTTCTCGGTTGCTCTATGTTGTCACGGCACTTAGATTGTACTAGCATTTGGGAGGGTCGACCCCACTAAGTCGGCTTTTGTATCTGTTCTCTAATCTTAATACAGAGGTGCGCAAGTCTTTTGTTTATTTCCTAAAAAAAAATTTGGGGAAATAGCTGCGAAGTAGGTATTTTGCCAGGGATTGGACACTATATTTTTTAGCGAGCATATTGGTCCTTGTGTAAGTAAACAACCATAATAAAACTAAATTATCCATTATTTACATTTTTATGGTCATCTGTTGCTAAACTGAGATGGATAATGAATCACTGCCATATCTCTTACATCTGATGAATATATCTGTTAAAAAAAATTTAGTGTATGCTTGTTAATTCCTTTTTGTTATGAGATAAAAAGCATATCCTAGTGTATGCTTGTTAATTCCTTTTTGTTATGAGATAAATTTAGTGTATGCTTGTTAATTCCTTTTTGTTGTCCTGCTTTTTGGAGAAAAAAACTTTATTGTCCTCTATTATATTTATTCTCCTTGAACTATATTTTTCCAATGCAAATTAATTTTATTTTGCATTGTATTTTTAAGATGTGCAATACTAATATGATATAAGCTGTATTTATGGTTTTAGGAGAAACAAGGCCTTGATAGAAGAAATAAGCAGGGCTCCTGCTAACTCTGGTGATCTCCTTTTCCCCAATAAATATTCACAGACTTTCTTCAAGCAATGCCTAATATGCTTGTAGAAGCAAAATTTGTTGTATTGGAGGAATATTCATTACACTGGACGTAGATTTTTTGTTACTACTGTCATTGCACTGCTTTTTGGCACAGTATTTTGGAACCTTGGCATGAAAAGGTGGGTCTTCCATTTATCATAAGAACTTTTTTTTTCTAGTCAAGAAGATAATGTCTTTTTTTTCATTATTTTGGTCCTTGAAGTGCATCACATGTCTGTACACCTTACAGAACGAAACCACAAGATTTGTTTAATTCCATGGGCTCAATGTACTCTGCCGTTCTAGTGCTCGGCATTCAGAATGCGTCTGGTATAGAATTTTTTTGAGAATTAATATTATTTTTATGGAAAATCGCAAAAGTAGTGGCCAACCGGGGAAAATCGCGAAAGTAGGTCCCTGTCGAACGGGTGCAATTCGATAGGGCACCTATCGAACGACGGGCAGTCGACAAAGCCCTGTCGAACGGCTGTCGTTCGACACGCTCACCTGTCGAACGGAGGGAGTTCGACAGGGCCCACCACCCGGCGCCGCGAAGCCTGTCGAACCGGGGGCGTTCGATAGGGCCCTCCACCGACCCTGTCGAACAATGGGCGTTCGACAGGCCGGCTTAAAGCCCCGTCCACCCAGGCCGCGAGTTCGATTTGTTTGAGGACCACATCGCCAGCCGCCGCCGAGAGTCGCCACATCGTCGCCGTGAGCGCCGGAGGGAGCGAGGGGAGGGGATAGCAGGCCGGAGAGGAGGCCGAGGAGGCGCCGGCCGGGAGGAAAGGGTTGGCGACGCCCTCCAGCAGTGAAGTTAAGGTATACATTAGTAATCCCTAAGTACAATGCATATGAAAGTTTAATAAAAAATTGGTTTAAGAGTTGTTAATTGTTTCACATTGTTCGATGTTAGTATGTATGGTTAGCACATATTTGTTATTGCTAAATGTTGGTAGAGGTATTTAAGTAATTGTACGGTTAAATTAGTTCTTAGTTAGTACATATTATTGATATGTTGTGTGTTAAAATAGGTACAAAGGTGTTATATTTTATTTGGATTATTAAACTAGATGTTTGTTACTAATAGTTGTAAATTAGTACACGGCAATATAGTATAAGTTGTAATAGGGTAATTATCGAATGATTAAATGATTAAACGTGAGACTATTTGTCATGTTTTATCAGGATGTCAGGTGATATGCCCATTCGTCTGTATTATGGCGATGCTCCTATACAAATATGTGATAGCGGGGTGGATTTGACTGTATATGCCTTCCATGATACTAGTTTGAATGCACCAGAGCATATGGGTTTGAACGACGTGTTAGGGTGGTTGTATAATATGTTTGGGGTAGATCCAGTGCACGATAAATTTGTCATAAATGCCGTGTGGCCAGTGAGGGGTCAACATGGATGGCAGTGGAGAGTAGTGAAGGTTGCGTCAACTGGGAGTTGGAGGAAGTTTGTTAGTAAAGTAAGGGAGAAAGGCTATAGCTTGGCAATAGTGGTGCAGAAGACAACATGTGTTGATCTATCGGGGGAGTCAAGTCATGCCGTGGTGGAAGAAACTCCGTTGGAAGGTGGATAAGCTGAAAATGTTTGGCGGACTGAGTAAGGTTGAGGGGAAGAAGTAGTAGAGGGTAATACACAAGGAGAGGTCATTGTTCGTGGTACTAATCGTGAGGCCAACGACTCGGACGATGAAGAACCGGATTCGCCTATGCGTGTTGATGCAGCGGAGGAGAATGAGGCGGTAGTGGATCAGATGGAACTGGAAAACGAGGAATACCTTGCGCTTGTAGTGGAAGGAGAAGATACAACACTGTGGGACAACGAAACTAACATACCCGATGATTGGACGACCATATCAATGAGTCGTATGAAGGTAAACGATGGTTTAGATGCCCACTGGTGTTATGATAGTAAGCAGGTGAAAGTTGGACAGATGTTTCATGACAAAGGTCACTTACAAGATGCGGTGAAGAGGTGGGTATTTGTCCAGAAGCGTGAGTTCAGGGTGAAGGTTTCAAATAGGACGACGTATGACGTGAAGTGCATACAGGGTGGATGTCCTTGGAGAGTGCATGGTTACAAGCCACAACATGACACTTTATGGGTAGCTTCGAGGGTTGAGCAACATACGTGTTTGTTGGAGAATACCCGTCTGGTGCACAGAAACCTGACAGTGACATTTGTGGCACAAATGGTATATTCAAAGGTGGTTAGAAAAACATCTTTGTCCCCTTTCACCATAATGCATGACGTTGAGAAAGAGTACAGATATGAGATATCGTACGACAAGGCTTGGAGGGCAAAACAGAAAGCATTGGAGATGAGGTTTGGAACTTATGAGGATTCTTATCACAATCTTCCCCCACTATTGGAGGTGATGCAGGCAAGAAACCCGGGCACACACATGGCTATTCTCGATGAGGTGAATGAATATGGAGAGAATGTTCTTCGTCGGGCTTTCTGGTCCCACACCCCATGCACACTTGAAAGCAAAGACTTACATGAAGCGTGTTCGCATGAAGCATGTTCGATTTTTCTCTTTTGTCCGAAGGTGGGTTGAACTATGGAACACAGTCTTCAAAAAGAAAAGAAAAAAAACAATGGAGCACGGGGGCCACGTGCTCCTGTCCTGTACCACCCCACCCGTTCACAAGCGCCCGCGCCACCCTCCCTCGCTCTCGTGCTCCCCCATTCCGCCGTCGCCGGAAGGAATGGCAGCCACCGCCCGCCCCGCGCCGCGGCCGCTGCCGCTGCCGCTGCCGCGGTCTCCGCTTCTACCTCGCTTCACCCAATACAACAGCCCGGACGATCCACCTCGCGGCCTCCGCGGCGCCAGACGCCTCACCCTCTCCCCCTCTCCCGCGCGCCGCCGCGCCCGCTCCCTCCACCTCCGCTGCCGCCTCTCCGACTCCGCCTCCGACCCCGACCCACTCCGCGTCGCGTTCGCGTGCGGCGGCGCGGGGGGCCACGTCTACGCGGCGATCGCGCTCGCCGACGAGCTCCACGCCTCTCTCCCGTCCTCCGCCTCCCTCTTCCTCGGCGCCCCGCCCCCCTCCCTCGAGTCCGACGCGGCCGCCTCCGCGCCCTACCCGTTCGCCCCCATCCCGCGCTGCCTCCCGCACGCGGTCCTCGACGCGGCGCTGCACCTCCGCCGCTTCCGCCCCCACGTGCTCGTCGCCACCGGCGGCGCACCGGCACTCCCGGCCTGCCTCGCCGCGCTCCTCCTCGGCGTCCCCTTCGTGATCCAGGACCAGGACGCCGGCCCGGCCCCCGCCACCCGCCTTCTGGCGCCCCTCGCCCGCCGCATCTTCCTGGGCTTCAACGCCCCCGTCCGCCTCCTCCCCAAGCGCAAGTGCGCCGTCTACGGGAACCCCGTCCGCATGTCCATCCGCAAGTGCCGGATCTCCAAGGCCGACGCCATGGCGAGTTTCTTCCCGAGGATTGGGACTGTGGGCGAGGAAGGGGTGGAGGTTCTGCTCGTGCTTGGTGGTACGGAGGGGTCGCCGGAGATCAATGTCGCGTTGCTGAACATGTACTACGAGATGCTGAGAGAGAGGAGGAATAGGTACATCATATGGCAGACAGGGCCGGAGGGGTTCTGCGAGATGGAGAGCCTCGTCAGGAGCCACCGCCGGCTACTTCTTACCCCGTGAGTTCCTTTCGTTTGGATTTCTCCGGTGCTGTTTAGCCACTAGATTGATCTGAGCATCCAGCTGTTACTTTTGTGTGCTTCTCATAATTAGCATCTACTACATTTCTGATTGTTTCAATAGAACTAGTCAAAATTTGGTAGAAATTAAGATGGCCAATCATCCTTAAATTTATATTTTACACATGTATGACGGCTAGTTAGTATTTCTATGGTAATGGAAGTAATGGATGCACACAACTAGCAAGTTAGTAGTGAGCAATGGAAGTTCAAGGGAGGAATTCAGTTCGGAATGCTGGTGTTATATAGCCAAATTATCCTTATTCGATGGAACTGATCATATTTGTTTAGGCTCTTTTTTTGTTCTCTTAGGGAAATACTCTGCTTTCTCAGGGAAATACTCTCTTTTCTTCCTTATTCTTTCAGTCCAGTATATAATGGTAGTAAGAGCATCATCTTTTGACATTATCTTGAATATGAAAGAAGGTAGTAGAAACTATTAAAGTGACCATACATTCTAGCTTTGGTTTATTCAGTAAACTCAAACCCATTCCCGAATCATTCAGTCATTACATGGCTTCAGCAAAACTTATTTAGGGTCTCTTGGAAGGAAAAAAAAAAGAATCACGTGAACCGTAGAATTGTAGTATCGGAATGCCATGTATTATGAAGCATGACATTGCTTCATAAACAAGGTACTGAAGGTCATGTGCTCGGTGATTCCTACGATGTCATGTATTTTGAAGGGACCATTTCTAGAAAAGTATGTAGAGAGAAAATGTCCTGAACTTCTAAAAAGGAAAATAAATATCAGGTTATCTGAACTCATGGTTATTTTCCTGTTTGGGAGCATAAGAAAATAATTATATGTTCTAGACAACACATGTAAGAAAAGCTTTGAAAGATTAGAATCATCCAAAATTCCCATTGAAAATTGTACAATCCAAACTTCCAAAGATACCGTTTGGTTCTCTACTTCTCTAATTATCATATGCAGAATCCAGCTTGCAGGTTTTCCAAGATTGTGATATACTCCCTCCGGTAAATATTATTTGATGTTTAGGACAACATTCGGCCACACTTCTAAAATTCTAACAATCAATTTAACATTGCAATAAGTTTTAAAAATATAAGAAGCTTATGATATTATGATAGTATTTTTTTAGGCAAATCTACATATTCCATTTCTTGTTTCTTAAACTAAGCATTTAAGAAATTGTTGATGGTCAGAATTTTAAAAGTTTGACCGAATCTTGTCCTGAAAGTTAAATACTTTTTACCAAAGGGAGTACTAGGTAAATATATGCCATGGATAAAAAATGAATCATGTTGATCCTAAGATTTTTCAAAACAAATAGAAGGATCTTTCATCAAACATCTGTTATAAGGAACATTTGACAGTGTTTGGTCATGCTAATTGTAAAATGAACTGACACATGGCAATTCGGTCATCTTGGAACTTTCTGTGTAAAATCATGAATAGAAAGGGCAAGTAAGAGGAGAAATGCATGCGGAAGATTTATTTTGTAATATTAAGGAATTCAGGAACAATTCATAAAATACTGTGGTGTGTAGTGGTAACACTGGGTGAGGTCCGATAGGAGATTCACCATCACCACTACCTTTACCTTATTCTAGAAATTTGCAGCTTGTCAAGGGCATGTTCTTTGGGAATGCTTTTAATGCTCTGTGCAGTAGGATGATTGGTAAAGTATAGGTTGAACAATTATCATATTTTTAAGTTCACAGTCAGTTCTGTGTGCTGATGATATATGTTGTTTCCTCTTTGAAGGTTCTTGCATGAATTGGACAAAGCATATGCTGCTGCTGATGTTGTAGTTTCTCGAGCTGGTTCTATGAGTTGCACTGAAGTACTGGTCACTGGGAAACCATCAATTTTGGTATCATATACTGTCATGGAACTCCATTTCTTTTCAACATATGTACTTTATGTGTTCTATCTTTTATAAAAATATCATCCGATAAACATATATGTGTTCAGTACAAAACCACTTGTTCTGCAATGAATATTAATCTTGTAACAGCTTAAGAAATTACCATATGGTAGCCTGTCTGGAGCACCGATAATATATGCGTAGACCTTTCAATTTGCAAACAATATGAAAGGCTAATTGCTTGCTGGTCATTAATGGGTACTGTACACAATGGATTCTATGAAACAAGGGCATGTAGTTCTAGGCTTTTAGTTGCCTAATCAATGCGTTTTACCTTGTGATCCTTCTTGGTGCATCTAAGAATGCCCATGTTTGGTCCCTGAGTTTTAGTCATTGCTGGCCATGTCATGCGGCACATAAATATGTAACTGTTAAACAAAGTTACAAGCAGTTGGAGATGGCGTTGCAAAATTCTGAATAGCAAGTCTTTTTACTTCTATGCTTCTAGTATAAGGGTTATGTTCCTTGCCCTTTTGTATATTTTTAGCAGTATCTTAACAGCTCATTGAAACATATTAATCAGATGAAATGAAGAGCAGAAGACTTATGCTTCATCAATCTCAGTGTCATGCATTAACCTTTCATTAATAACTTGTTCTATCCTTCGATTATTGATATATGTAGCTCGGATTTTTTTACAAGCTATGTGATGAAGTCAATGTTTAAGGCAACTGAAATAAAATAATAATATGTTTTCAGAGGCCATGCTTTTCATAGTTATACAAGATATGTACAGAGAGTTACAGAGTATTTATTACTGGATACATGTTTAACTCTACAATAGTCTAGCATAACACATAGATTCAGTACCTAGTCTATCATCATGGTTGGTACATGCAGCACTGATTTGTTTGTTGGAGACTAGATAAGTAACAGTATGGTCCATACTGTTTGGTGGTTTGCTGTAAACATGTTATGGCAAAGTTTGAGATGCAGTGATAAACATTTTAGTAAACATCTTTTTTATCACTTGTTTTTGCACAAATTTGAGTTATTCCCTCTTTCTTCAGATACCCTTACCAACAATGGTGGATGACCATCAAACCAAAAATGCATATATTATGGCTGATGTCATGGGAGCAAAGGTCATAACAGAAGATGAACTTGATTCTAGTAGTCTCAGATCTATAATTGATGAAGTTTTCGGTACGTGGCATCTGTATTTAATTTCATGACTTATACATGCTAATCTTAAACACAGTAAATTCGGAGTTCGTGACTTAATTTATTGAATTGTGGCGTGCCATATCTGCAAGATCAGAACTGACTAAACTAGGACAGATAAATCTTGACATATATCCAATATTCCAATGGTCTTTCTGCTGGTTTTTGTTACTTCTGGCTTCTGGTTAGTTTTTATTGCTATGGCCAATTGGCCATAGCAAATGGCTAATGGCTCCACAAGTGAGTACGCAAAAGGAATTTGCTAAAGGCTACCATTTGGTTTGATGCCAAAGTTTGGTAGTGTGAATGAAATCTAACACCATTTGTGGGTAGTTCAAGAGTAGTAATTACTTGTAAGTAAAATTTCTCGTCCCAATTTTGCACTACCTCAAATTTGGTATAATCTTGACATATATCCAATATTCATCATACATTACTTTTAGGTTTTGACAGTTCAAATTACAGATCTAAGTAAAATATTTGTGAAAGGCCAAAATACATAAAGCACTGTACACTAGTATATACATTACACTTATGACATTTGCATATCAAAATTTGGTTTTCCTATTGGATACAGGTCAAAGAACCTGTAAAATTCAGTCTTAATCATGTGGCTGAACACAGCTGACCCAACAGAATAGACAAGAATATGGGTAATAATTTATATTTTTCTGCACGGCTATGACTGGGCAATGACCTGATCCCCCTAAGTTGCTCAAAAGTCTGGAATAGATCCTATACCCAAATTGATCATTTAGAATTTCATACCAATGTCCATAGCATCTGATTGATCATTTAACTCTTTTCTGTTTCGTGGTAATCTTGTTCTTTGGTCACAGTGATGTGTACTGAGCAATTTTCATTTTTCAGGTGATGAGAAATTGATGTCGGACATGTCTCAGAAGGCATTAAGTGCAGCTCGTCCTAATGCTTCAACTGATATTATTCGTCACATCTGTTCGCTGGTTGGCTCATCCTGCACAACATAAAACTTGTTTACACATTACAACATCAAATGCTTAGTTACTGTGCAACAGAATCACATCTCAATTTTGAGGCCTATACTGAAGATCTCTAGCTCTCATCTTTCACACAAATGGCTACAAGACAATCTGAGCAAAATAAAAATGATGGGGAAATGATACCTCCAGGTAGTGTTCACTTATGTGCCACCTATATCATGATGTAGCTTTGCACAAATATTTCTGCAAGCAAGGCATGCAAGATGGCTAAATTTCCTGTGTAGCTTCAAGAGGGCTGCGCAGCGCCTTTCTTCCACTTCGCAGCCAACTAAGAAAGCTGTGCTCCTCTCTCAAAATCTCTTCAAATCTGGTTGATATAGATCCGTTTTATAGTGGATTTCGTGAGCAATTTGATAAGGAAAGGTTATCTTCCTCCGGCTCGCTTTCTTTTTGTCAGTTTTACGAGATGATTTGGAGATTAGGAGATCAGGAGTTCTTTTGAGCCCGAAGTATGACTGAGATAAGTGTGTTGCTAATTTAGAGGTTGGAATTTTGTGTGGATGAGAATTGTTTGCATATGTGCAAATTATATTGAATTATTTATAGGATGATTTGGTAGGCATTGTAAGTTTATGTTAAATTTTGATAATTTGTTTGATTCAGGGTCATGTTTAAATCATGGTGGTAATGTATGTTGTAGATGGATAAGTTTTTGTAAGTAATATATGATGGTCGATTTTTTATATCGATAATGCTTAATTTTATTTTGTTATAACGGAGATGGATAGATTGGTTATTGTTTGTTACGGTGGTAGAACTAGATGCTGGCATAAACGAAATTAGTTTCTTCTCAAAATTCAGAATGGCTCAAATTAGTAGTTCTTGTCAACAAGTTTCTTCATTCTTGTTCTTTCGTACCGCTCGTTCTTAATTAGTAACACCACCTAAAAGTATCAATGCTTATCAAAATTCTTATTCTTGCACGTACCTAGCAGTAGCAATACTTCAACAACTGACCTTGAGAAACTTCAGAAAAACAGTACTCCCTCCGTTTGGATTTTGAGTTTTTACTTATAATATTTGACCAATCGTTATATTCAAAAAAAAATTGTGCAAATATAAAAACGAAAAATTGTGCTTAAAGTACTTTAGATAAAAAAATAAGTCACAAAGAAAATAAATAATAATTCTAAAATTTTTTGAATAAGACGAATGGTTAAACAGTACAAGCAAAAACTCAAAATCCCTTATATTATGGGACGGAGGGAGTAGTTCATGGGACACGAGAGAGAGAGAGAGAGAGATCACAGAGGGTACTACAACCAGGAGTTATCTGGCCTCCATTGCTGGCCTCTGCCGACACTGCCATATCTGCCACCTATGCCTAGTTGAGGTAGATGCCTCTGCCGAACCTGCCGTATCTGCCACCTATACCCTAGTTAGATGAGAGAAACTAAAGATTACTTATAGGAGAAAACCTGAATAGAATTATAAAAGAGAAATTGAACTTTGGATTTGAGATCTTTTCTTTCTCTAGTCTAGAATCATTGTTTCATCTGTCGTCTATTGGAGCGGCACTCCACACGAGATTGGAGATATGTAGATGAAAAGACAGATGGGAGAAGAAGACAAACTCAATTTTTTTAACGACTAGTAATATGCCCCTAGTCTACAATCGACAAGCCTACAGAGCATCTCCGAGAGAATGCCTAGGTGGTTCTCCAAACCAAAATTTAGCTCGTGAAGAAAAAAAAAAGCCCTTCAACGACCTTTCTATCCAAATGGCCAAGCCATAAGCCATATGGCTGGCCAAATACTCCCCCCTCCCCCCCTCGCCTCCTCCAACGTGCGAGGAGGAGCAATAGCGCTGCTGCGAACTACCTCTCCCTTTGGTGCCCTGGTTGGAAACACTCCCCCCCCTCTCCCTGCCTCTGGAGTCGGCGTCCACAAGGTAGGCGGCTACTATCCTCCTCGTGCGCCTCCTGTCGCGCTCGTCCCTCCAAGCCGCCTCTCTCTCCAGCACATGCCCTCCAACGCCGACGCCTCCTCATCCTCTGTCTCCGTCCCTGCCTTCCTCGCCATCCTCTGCGCTGAATTGGCCTCCGCCGCCGTCACCTCCCCTACTGGCGCGAGTAGCATTAGCAACACGGGCTAGACTTTAGTGAGGCAAGCTTGGGGCTATCGTGTGTCGGCAGTGGCGACAATCTCCACATCCCGAGAGGGGTCCCGAAAGTGTGCAAGCGATGGGGCCCTATTGACAGTGGAGAAGCAGCCCCCCCTCCCCTAAGCCGCGCCCAGTAGGTGGCGAGTTCTCGCTATCGCGTCGTTGCCGTTTTCCTCTTCCTTGGCCGCGTCCTCGCCGCCACTTATGTCTTCCAACTACCACCATCCTCACTTGGTCCTCCATCCCGTTGCAATCGAGATAGAGAGGGGAATAATGTGAGTGAGAAAATGACATGTGGGACCTATGGTTAGAATAGAGAATGTAATAGACAGGCTGTTGGAGTGAAATATAAATTTGGCTCTCCTTTTTTTTTTTGGCAAGCTGGCCAAATAGATATTTGGAGAGTCAGATTTAGAGAGTATGTTGGAGATGCTCTTAGAGATGTGCTATGAGGTGATCGAGAATTAAACTTTAGATTTGGTGGTTACTTAATTAATACGCTCTAATGTCGGAGTGTGGATAGAAGGAGGATGACTTCGCTTTTAAGGTGTGTGGGGAGGTCAATGTCTAGGAGCGAGGGCACAAAGGAGTGATCGCGTGAGCTACTCAGGGTAGGTCACCAGAGCCTGACCCAAAGGCTCCCCATCTTCCTGCCATTGCTATCTAGATTCTGAGAATCTGTAGCTGTAGAATTCAAAAGATGAACTAAGACCCTGTTTGGTAGAGTTTCAATTTCAAATTTTAGCTCCAGGAGTTGGGTCTGGAGTAGATTTATAGAGCAGCCAAAACCCATGACGCGAACCCGCTAGGGTTTGTGGCCCGATCTTTCGATGAGAGGTAAGGGATAACTCGATTAGATGAAGACGACGTTCACGGCCCGACTACAACTGTCCAAAGACGCTGCGCCTTAGCAACCGATACACCGTCTCCAATGGTCGCCGCGAACTTGTGGTGCGCGTCAACCCGGCCACGAGGGCACTCGTCCTGCAAGCAATCGAAGAACAAGCAAGAACAAGTAGGACAAGCACTGAAATTGCTAGATAAAGATGAAAGTTTCACTATCAAACTCAATATGGTGGGGTTCCGATTACAGGCAGACGGGCGGTTTAGCCAATACGCGCGCTGCGAGCTGGTAGCAAGAAGCTATCTCTATCATCAAAACCCGCCTGTTCTTGGCGGCGACTAGAGGCATAAAAAGAGGGGAAGAACGACCATAGGGTCGTGCTCCAACCCTAGGACGCGCCCCTAATGGGCCCAACTTGGATACACAGCCCATTGGGCCAAAAGAGGTGACGCAGCACCATGGACAGAAAATAGTCGGGAGTAAAATGACAATTGCGGCCGCTCCAGAACAGTTATGGACATGTGGCTGGATCCATTTGAAAGTAGACTTGATAAGCTTTCCATGAAGTACTTGCACGCCCAAATCGGAGTTCGCATGAAGTCGTGGCGGCCGTCAGAAGTTGGCGCTGCCCTGCAGTCCGAATCCACCCCGCGCGAATCCTCTTCCCTTTGGATCCTCTCCATCGTTCCTGAGTAAAACACGAGTGCACGCGTCTCCGGGGTATAAAGACGAGGAATATGAACTCAAGAAAGAACTCACCTGATAATTTAGTTGACGTGCACGAGCGCGGGTAATAGGACCATCATGCTGTACATGGGGGGACGTGGATGTATCGATGGTGTTGATGTCCTCATCATCCTCCCCTTCTTGCATTTGAGTCGTCCTCGACTCAAGCTCATCTTCTTCTCCCAAATACGGCTTCAAATCTGCAACGTTAAATGTGGAACTAACCCCGAAATCTGCAGGCAATTCAATCTTATATGCATTCTCATTAATCTTTGCTAACACTTTAAATGGTCCATCAGCTCTAGGCATCAATTTAGACTTTCTCAAATCAGGAAATCGTTCTTTTCGCAAATGCAACCAAACCAAATCTCCAGGTTCAAAATTCAATTCCCTTCTACCTTTGTCACCAGCAAACTTATACTTAGCATTCATGCGCTCTATGTTTTCTTTAGTTGTCTCATGCAGTTTTAACATCAACTCAGCACGTTGCTTAGCATCAAAATTCAGTTTTTCAGAAGATGGTAAAGGCATCAAATCAATTGGAGCACGAGGCAGCAAACCATACACAATCTAAAAAGGGCACATTTTTGTAGTAGAATGCAAGGAACGATTATAAGCAAATTCAATATGAGGCAAGCATTCTTCCCACATCTTGATATTTTTCTTCAAAACAGCCCTAAGCATAGTAGACAAGGTTCTATTCACCACTTCAGTTTGTCCATCAGTTTGGGGATGACAAGTAGTAGAAAACAAAAGTTTAGTCCCCAATTTAGCCCACAAAGTTCTCCAAAAATGGCTAAGAAATTTTGTGTCACGATCAGAAACAATTGTGTTTGGCACACCATGCAAGCGAACAATTTCTCGAAAGAACAAATCAGCGATATGAGAAGCATCATCAGTTTTATGACATGGTATGAAATGTGCCATTTTAGAAAATCTATCCACAACCACAAAAATGCTATCACGCCCCCTCTTGGTCCTAGGCAATCCTAACACAAAGTCCATTGAAATATCTTCCCAAGGAACAGTAGGAACAGGAAGAGGCATATACAAACCATGTGGATGTAAGCGTGACTTAGCCTTTTGACATGTAGCGCAGCGAGCAACGAACCTGCCAACATCTCTTCGCATCTGTGGCCAAAAGAAATGACTAGCAAGGATGTCATGTGTCTTCTTGGCGCCAAAATGTCCCATCAAACCGCCTCCATGCGCTTCCTGCAACAACAACAGGCGAACGGAGCTAGCTGGAATGCATAGCTTGTTAGCTCTGAAAACAAACCCATCATTGATGACGAATTTGTTCCATGTTCTTCCATCCTTACAATACAGCAACACATCATTAAAATCAGCATCATGCGCATATTGGTCTTTGATTGTTTCCAGGCCAAAAATCTTGTAGTCAAGTTGTGTCAACAAAGTGTATCTCCTAGACAAAGCATCAGCAATGATGTTCTCCTTCCCTTTCTTGTGTTTGATAACATAAGGAAAAGATTCAATAAATTCAACCCATTTAGCATGTCTACGGTTCAGCTTCCCTTGACTACGAATATGCTTCAAAGACTCATGATCAGAATGTATGACAAATTCCTTGGGCCACAAATAATGCTGCCATGTTTCTAAAGTTCGCACAAGAGCATACAATTCCTTATCATAAGTAGAATAATTCAGAACAGGCCCACTCAACTTTTCACTAAAATATGCAACAGGTTTTCCTTCTTGTAGCAAAACACCACCCAATCCAATCCCACTAGCATCACATTCAAGTTCAAAAGTCTTATTAAAATCAGGAAGTTGGAGGAGAGGTGCATGAGTCAACTTATCTTTCAACATGTGGAAGGCGTTCTCTTGTGATGTGCCCCAAGTGAAAGGCACTCCCTTCTTTGTAAGCGCATTCAATGGTGCAGCAATGGTGCTGAAATCCTGCACAAAGCGGCGATAGAACCCCGCGAGTCCTAGAAAGCTCCGCACTTGTGAGACCGTTTTAGGAGTCGGCCAACTCTGAATTGCCTCAACCTTGGCTTGATCAACCTCAATCCCCTGCGG